TGGGCTCGTACCGCTTCAGGTTTCCTCTGGAGGAGGTGCTGACGGCCTACAGCGAGCAGGTAATGCTACGTTTAAACGACTGTTTGCATTCACAGAGCTGACATCAGCGCCTGTGAGCACCATAAAAGAGTCAGAGACGTCTGTGAACGTCATATCAAACACTTTTCAGAGGCAGAGTTTGAACATGAATATCTAAAACACTGTCAACAATAGAAACCCGACAGTTTCACTGGTCCGTCTGACCAGAAACATGAAACAGGATCTAGTATTCAAATATCTGCAAGTAGTCCTGTAAAAACACAATAACCTGGGACTGTTTCTGAATGATGTGTATTTATATTTCTCCATAATGTTAAAACACTGAATACTATAAATATTATTCTTAGTCACAAACTGAAGAACATGCTTTTTTCGTTCAGCTGGACTCGGTAAATCTTTCAGGTGGAAACAAACATCAGACTGGAACAGACCCAGTTAAAACTCAAATAAAGTGAAGTCACAACATTCCTGACAACACTGAACAACAGGGCACTTCCATCCTTCGTTTACAGCGAGCTGCTGTCGTGACTCAAAGCGCGCGTCGACCGAAACTCGCCGTGCCGCGTCACTCTTTGTTTCTCTGGAAGTAAAACTGAAACTTCTGTTATCGTCCCCAGTTTTGCTCCGGAGCTCCGCCCATCATGAGGGTGTTCAAGACCTCGCTGTACAAACAGGAAGTGCAGTACTCTGTGCTGGTCCACAGCCCGGCCAATCAGGAGCTCTTCTCAAGGTTTCCTTTGCTCCCTGATGATGACCCGGACGCCGTCTGCGCTTATAGAGACGGACGCTTCATCTGGAGACCGGAGGCCATGTGTAAGACACACAGGTAAGAATCACACAGGTAAATGTGGAAATGACCTCCAGTGAGAGACTCAAAGCGCCCTCTGACCTCTGTGTCTCTGCCCGTCCTCTCAGCTACGAGTTGATCCGAGGACCTGACGAGAACCAGATGGACGCTCGGGGGCCGATGAAGCACCCAGAGTTTTATGTGTGGGATAACGTCGCCGTCGCCCTGCACGTGGACAGACAGGTACCTTCGCTGCTCCTCCTCCTCACTATCAGCCAGCCGGCTCCTCCAGCCCGCCCCAGACCGCATTCACCACAGCGTGAGCGCTGAAAGGCTTTGAATGAACCGCCGTGTGAAGTACGAAGAGCTCAGAGTGCTGGATCATCACGTCTGACTCTGACAGTTTATGACTGAGCTTCAGTTTCATGGTTCTTTTTCTGTTCCAGGTGCTGAGGTTTGATCCTGATCAGCTGAGAGAAAACCTGAGGTTCTGCTGGAGGGACAACAGGACAATCATACCCCGAACACACTTTGATCACTTCTGCAGAGCCTACTCCCTCCTTAGACACCTGTGGCCCAGACACTCCTGGCTGGAGAAGGAGCCCCCACTCCGGCCTACCTGAGGCAATGAATCCACATTTCTCCTGACAGCTGCCTCCAGTGGACACTAGGAGAACTGCAGTCTTTGTTTTCTGATACGTGAATTAAAAATACTCTAGTAAAAGTAAAAGGTATCTCTGAGCTTGTGTCTACTATGAATGTGATAAAAATGAAGAAATAAAGAAATAAATAAACTCGGGGTGGCATAAGCTCCACCCCCAGCAGCCCCGAACTGGATCAGTAGAAGATGATGGGCTCAACTTCTATCACACCTGGAGATTGATGAGGTACAATACAAACAGTACAGCGAGTAGCTAGAACGCCAATGTCACAGCCTGGCCCTCGCCATATTTTGTATCATGGTGGCTGGACTTTGTTCTCTGTGTTCTGTGCCTTTAAATGTCTCTGCAGGTCCCTTCTGATTTGAGAGCTGGCAGCTGCTGATTGGTTCCCTGATCAAGTGGCTGTTTTAAAAACCCTCCCCAGCAGCAGCTGACCTGTGTGTGTGTCTGTGTGTGTGTTCCTGTCTAGCTATCTTTGTGAGGACGGAAAGCTGCATTCTACTATACTTGTGAGAACCAACAGTCACTCTTCATGCAGCTGAGTACATCAAATGTTTAAAACAGAAGCTGTGCAGGTCTGAGATCAGCAGCTCTCTGAAACACCAAACTGAGGTCCTGGTAATTCTGATATATAGTGACACAGTTACATGAGTGATTCAATTCAATTCAATTCAATTTTATTTATATAGCGCCAAATCACAACAAAAGTCGCCTCAAGGCGCTTCATAGATACAGAGAAAAACCCAACAATCA